TGAATTTCAAGGTCAGTCAGTTTGACAGTGTGGCTTTAGAGAAAAGTCCCTTTATGCACGTCATTATGGTACCCTTGTCAAGTGTAAAAATCATGTCAGTTGCACTCTCTCCATTTAGAGAAGCGCCTTTTAAGCGACGATAGTTTGGACTGCTGTGTTGTCAAGTTTTTCGAGCTTTTTCACGTCAATAATCATTGAAAGTATTCCTCATTTCCGCCGCTTGTATCCTGAATCAGATTAACCCTATAGCGTATGCGCGTACGCAGTGCTCAACACAGACAACTCCACGCCACTGCTCATCTATCATTTCTCAAAACAGGTCAGCTGAACTAATGCTGGATTATTCAATCTCTGATATTTAACACATCCCCTTCAACAAAACCAACGATGCCTCTATCTTGACATTTCTAATAATCACCTTACTTCTGTGTTTCGAGATTTTTCGCGACCTTTCAGGACTAGTAAATCAATATTTGCTTTATAGTCTCTGCGTACCTCACATCAAGTTCATGTTTGTCATGCCATCATATTTTAGCGAAACACTGAATAGCAATGGTGCGGATTAACACCACGTTATTGCCGACGAATTTCACGTTCACAAAACGTGTCTTGCCGAAAGCGATGAAGCACGCCCAGAAGCGGCAGAAGGAGGAATTGCAGGACAGCATCGACGTTTACTCTAAGGCCAGAGCGAATAGCAGTATTGTCCGTACTACTTATAAAAAGTGAGTGACGACCGAGTTCAATTTTGCCAATTCATACATAATTTCTGTACATTGTATCGCTTGCAGTGAGTCACTGAAAGCGCCAGTGGACATTCAGCCGCTGCGAAAAACAGCCGGCGAGCGAGCCATAGAGAAGTTCAGCATGCTGAAGGAGAAGTTGATCGAGAAAACTGGAGGTGACACACCGCTAACTGACTGACGGTCATCACTTGTACAGTACCTTAACGGTCTTGCTCCTTTTTAGTACCCGAAGGGGGATGGATCGCCATCGGCGCCTTCGTCCTGTTGGTCACTCTGTGCTGCTTCTACTATTGCCTGCGACGCTGGTGCGCGAAGAAGCGCTACAAAATCAAGGATTCGAAGAGCAGTGCCAAGGGACTGAAGGGCTTCGTCAGAGGCGTCGACCTGCTCCCGGTATCAGCCAAAGACAAGGTAAGGATTTTCGATCTGAGCGGCGCAAAATTCTCTGATTGCTGATCGCTCTGTTCCTCAGGCGGACCTTGTTTCGTTGGAGGAAAACATGGAAGAGAACGAACAGGAGCAAAAGGAAGAACCAAAGGATTTGAAACTAGGCAGGCTCCAGTTCAAGCTCGACTACGACTTTCAGGAAAACCAGGTCAGTTTTGTGTCCGGAGGGAGCAATGAGTTCACCCGTAAGTGCGTGCATACCGTGTTTATAGCTGACAGTGTCGGTAATCCAGGCTGAGGATTTGCCCGGAATGGACATGAGCGGAACCTCCGATCCGTATGTGAAAGTTTATCTCCTGCCGGACAAGAAAAAGAAGTTTGAAACCAAGGTTCATCGGAAAACCCTGAATCCCGTATTCAACGAATCGTTCATGTTCAAAGTAATTTTATGTAATAACGCCCCTTCTTGATAATTTATAAATTTACACCGTAGCTGTTAATATTAAAGTACACATTTTCCTCACATATATATCCCTACATCCTTTGACGGACGACCATCATACATCCTTTTGATATGCGAATAATTTTTGGCGGGAATCCATGTTTTTCAATAACTTTCTTCAAGGCATCTCCTTGAATGAAATCAAAGGCCTTGGAAAAATCATTGAAAATTGCAAAGAACTTGAGTCTCCCCCCATCATTCTCTTTTTAACTCCATTAGCTGTTTTAACTCCATTACGAATATCTGATCCGAACACTGTCTTCTTATCATGAATTCGGACGGCCCTTCCTCCAAGATAGTCTTATTATAATGCTTAATCCTGTTCACCATGACACCAATAAACACTTCAGCAGAAACAGCTAGCAGACCTATTCCACATTAGTTATTGGGATTCGTGCGACAGATTTTCTTATCGTTACTTTAGAGTGAGCTGTCAAGGTGGGCCAAGGAATAAATATTCGATTCAACCGTCCTACCGGCCAGTAGTGGTGGATCAACTAGTAGAACAGAAAAGGGAAGCCATAAACGATATCGACCATTTCAAGTACCTCGGCTTCATCGCGTACGACGACAGCACAACATAACCACTGTTAAATAAGAGGATCGCCCAAATGTCGAGTGCTCTTTGCAATCTTTCCAGATTTTGGCTCAGAGAAAAAAGTCATCATATTCACAAAAACCGCTGGTATCTTGTCACGGCCAGATGAAGTCGTTTTACGATACGGAGACAGTTCCTTTAACGAAGGAGGAAGGAGCAGGGCTGGTATGGACGCAAAATGAGGGTTAAGCGCAGTACCATATAAGGAAAAAGTAACAAAAGGAGGTAGGCCCAGTTAACCAACTATTTGAACATCTATTACTTACTTCAATGAATGCGTTTCACCTGTAGGAACCAAAACACAACAGTCTCGGTTAAGATGCAGCCAATATGAAAGAATAAGGTAGAGGTGAATCTGCCTTTGGATAGCAACATTCACTTTTATGTTGCAGTATCCGGTAACGTATAACAAAGGTGCTGTAAAGCTGCGAATGCAGCTGATACCACAAACCATAAATGTTGACACAAAATTGGCGGGAATTGAAAGAGCATTTTTTATTCGTAAAACAGTTCTCCGTACGAGAACACGCCTTGTCTTTGAACCCGGATGGAGCGGAAGACCGTTCCCTAACCTGTATAACTACACCGTGTAAACTTTCTCTAGCATTAGCAGATGAAGATACGTGCAATAAGCAATCAATGCGCTTATGATTTATGACTGTAGGTACCTTTTACCGAAATTACCACCAAAACGCTTGGCTTCTCAATCTACGACTTCGACCGATTTTCTAAACACGACCAGATCGGCATAGTTCTGATTCCGTTGAACACCGTCGACCTTGGCCAAGTGATCGAAGAATGGAGGGACATTCAGCCGCCACCTGACGACAAGGAAGCGGTAACGAACAACGCACAGAAATCTCGTGTCCTCCAAATACACAAAACAACTGTTTACAGGAAAGCAAACTCGGCGACATATGCTTTTCGCTGCGATACGTGCCGACCGCCGGAAAGTTGACCGTGGTGGTCCTCGAAGCGAAAAGTCTCAAAAAAATGGACGTTGGCGGACTGTCAGGTACGCTTTGACTTGTCTCACTACTTGCTTAGCCACGTGATGACGTTTCTGAACAGTAATTAAGCCATAAGTCGGTTTCCCGCCTGCTTTGACTATTTGCAAAACAGGGTTATGGTATAGACTGGGCGTACGTCTTACCGCAGTAGGTGATGTGGTGCAATTTGAGATAATTCTGATCGCTTACGTGAATCAAGTACTAGTGAATGAATACATATCTGTCTGAAGGTTGTCCTTTCACGTTTGACGTTGCTCTGCGAGAACGTTTCCGTGGCTATGGCCGAATTCTCATGTGAAAGTCAGATGTGTTGGTTTCATCCTTCCCTCACTCATGGTTACGTCAACCAATCATATTCGATCCAGCAACTTCTATGTTGTTACTCGACGTATCGACCAATTCTTAAATAGCCGCACAGACACCCTTGCTGAAAAACACATCGGGGGCTCTCGCCAGCTGCCAATACGGTGCCTGTTTTTAAGGACGACGAAGGTCCCATCGCTGACCTCCTTTGCCAGACACATGCATTGTCCGCATAGAATTTTAGTTACATTACCCAAGGCTGCACGTGTCTGCGTGTGCACGCATGTGTGTCCTGTGCGTACTCGTCATAGTCACACAGTCTCTTGCTTCCTGCAGCCAAGAAACCCTGTAAGGAGACCACGACGCGCTCCATGGTACTAAAGCCCTTGCTTTGCATCGATGAAAAACGTCTTCACTGTGATTGGTAGAATAAAGATATGTTCAAACACCAACTGACATACCTCAGTCCGCAGTCGTATATAATAACAATTAATTTTGATATCCTGGTCTTACTATCAAGCTGCCAGTTTACAGTACCGCCGGTAACAGTAGCAACTTACTGTCATTCTTCCAGAACTTCATAGTGTGTACTTCGCAAATCAGCAGTCTGCTAATAAACCGAGAATGTCAAAGTTAATTTTTATGTGCATACTCCTACGACCCGAGCAATATTAGTGAGTGTTCGAACATGCTTTAGTTCAATCGAATATAGCGATTCTGTTTTGCATCCATGAACCGTAAATCCTACAATATCGTCGAACAGTGTCTCTAGAACGTTGGAACCAAACAAAGGTGCAACTATGGTGTGAAAATTTTGAGAAGTAACAGGAAATTGTTCTTCATAATGGTGGTATTGAAAATCTGCTGTTTGTTAGTAAACCAGGGATAATGTTTTATATAATTATGCATTTAAATCATAATAAACCAAAATACTTTGTAGTTATGCAGTAAAACAGTTTCGAAAGGTAACCTTCTAAATAATAACCCGTTACGACGCTCGAAAACCATTATAAACGTGATGCAACCTCACAAGCACCAAGCGAAATGATAAAGCTTTTTAGCAGATTTAAGTGTCTGACCTACGCATTGCATAATCTTGCATCGAAAATCGTAGCTTTGAACTGTCCCTATTACTATCCTTCCTGCCGTGGCGAATTTGAGGTAAGAATAGACAAAACTTATTTTTATAATTACAATTACAAACATAATAAAAGAATTAGAAGCAGCTTTAAAGATGCCTCTTAGGAAAATCCAAGAAAAAATCTTTATGCCTAACACAGCAAGCGATATGACAAGATTTTCGGCATTTTTAATTCACGAAAATTCCGCCGTTGCTGGTCCCCAATCTGGACGAAAAAAAGAGCAAGATTTCGGATCATGGCGAAGTCTCCCGTAGAACTTAGTCACCTTTTCCTCATTGTATTG